TTCGGAATCAAACGGACCGATAAGCCGTTTTCAGGGCAACCTATTGATCTTACATTAGAGCAGACCACAGACCATTAATGCAGATGCTGCGAGAACACTTACTGGTATCTCACATCTCACTCACTCGATTTCAGCTCGTCAACGGTGGGCGAGAAGTCACGATATCCGCTCAAGTATAATTACACACGTATTGGATAAGTTAGGAATTACCAAGAAGCAAGATATTTCACCTGAGTTACAACCACATAACATTTAGAACAGTTGTCAACAACTTGAAAAATTTATTAACGCATTTGATCAATATGTGAATCCCTTCGGCTTAGATTTATCACCCGATCAATTATTCAACATAGGTTCCGGAAAAGCTGCGTCATCTCAAGTGGAAGAGTTCCTCTTAAACATCCAAAAAATGGCGGAGAGCTACGAACAAATTTCATCTCGGAATGTGCATCTGATTCGAAAAGATTTGAAAAGGCCATCAAAAAGACTCCGATACACAACTTTTCCAGTCTACTTTTAAAAAAGAAATCTGTAAAAATCGGAGGTAAGCAGCAAGAGATCAAGCTACAGCGAGATTTATTTGGACGTTTGTTCGGAATTTCAATGGACCATCAAATTGATGTTCTCAAAATTTTAGCGTATCCAATATCTCCTGTACCTCTTGCTTTATGTCATCTCGATGGTGGCTTCTGAAAAACTGATAAATCCGTTCTTCTAAAATGCCTTGAACCAAATGTTGATCAAGAACCACCACGTAATACAGACGTATTTTTAATCGATGGATTTTTTATTCTCCATTCAATGAAAGAAGTCCCCAAAACATTCGGGAGTATTTCAAAGAAATTTCTGCAAATGGTTTCGAAATATTCCACACGAAGAATTGATGTAATCTTTGACCAATATATATTTCCATCAATAAAAGATAGTGAAAGATGTTTACGACATGAAGCGTCGTTGATTGATTACACAATTTCGGGGCCTGAACAGGTGCGACTGTCAGATTTTTCAAAAGAATTGAAGAATACTAAATTCAAGGAAGCTTTGGTAGATTTTATTACAAAACACTGGTCTAGTGAGGAAATGAAATCATTTTTGGGTAACCGACAAATTTTCATAAATTTCCGAACTTGTCAATCATATCAAATTGTAGATGACAAGATCCAATCAAGTGTAGTTGAAAGTTTATGTTGTACCTCACATGAAGAAGCTGATACTAAGATTGTCTATCATGCTTGCAATATCACAGAGCAGTCAAATATTGTTATTAGTGCCTCTGATACTGATATTTTAATTATAATGATTGGTAATATGACACGATTACAACATGCCAATTCTAATGTTTGGATGCTCAATGGTACCGGAAATAAGGAAAGGTATATTCACATCACAAAAATTTACAAAGAGCTTGGTGAATTGCTAGCCAAAAGCTTAATCGGCTTCCATGCGTTCACAGGATGTGATTTCAATCCGGCTTTTTTTAATAAAGGGAAAAGAAGACCTTTTACCTTATTGAAGAAAAATACAGAAGTTTAAGAAGCATTTGCTACTCTTGGTGAAGAAAATTTGACAGAGGACTAGTTACAACAGGTATTTGACAGCATTCAAAAGTTTACCTGCCAACTTAATAATGCAAAAAAATCTGTTGACGTTGATGATGGAAGATACCAACTTTTCGTCAATAATTATAAGGCTTCCGATGTCAATGAAAATTTCAGCAAAAAAATTTCGAATTTTGATGCAAGCTCAATACCACCATGTAAAAGTGAGCTTTATCAACAACTTCTGAGAGCGCATTATATTTCTACAATTTGTAAAAATGCTTACAAAAAAGAACCTACGACATTGGATCCATTAGAGTTTGGTTGGATAGAGCAAGACGAGAAATTTACATTCAAATGGTTTGAAGGAGATCAACTCACAACTTCTGTCAGTGATTTAATCACCCAAGTTCCTGGTAAGTTCATAATAATTAATTCTTTACCGAATGTGTTCAGATCAATTTACGATTGACTTTTATTTAATAATTTATGCTTTATTTTTACAGATTCCGAATCACAGGATGATGAAGAGGAGTCCCACCTGGAGACAAATGATTCCGATGAAGATGAATAAAAATTCAAATCAATAAAAGAAAATATTTTTTGTAATTCATGATTCATTTTTTTCAATTTTGTTGTGAATAAATTTAAAAAAAAAATCAAATAAATTGACTATTTTATCATCAAATTTCTAAATTTTAGTCCATAATTTGCAAAATGAAGTATTAATTGCTATGAATACAGTAAGAACGTAAATGATATTGATATGAAACAGGGAACGTCATACAAATACATCTGACCGGATTATAGCTAAGATTTTCTTGTCTACTGAAGTATGTCCACCATGAAGACGTCTGCCATGATCAATATAAGTTTTTAAGACCCTAATAAATGAAATATATTAATGGCAGATCTGGTCAATTACTTTGAAAATTTTATTTTTTTGAGCACTTTCAAAATTGTCTGCCGCAATGAAAACCGCGCGATAATGGTCTGCCATTGTTATTTTCCGATAATAATATTAATATATTTTCAAATTTCAAAGCGGCAGACGTCGTCAAATACTTATAAAATTGGCCAAAAATCGATACCTGTCTTACCTGAGCGCCCGCCAAGTCGGCCACCTGGAGCTTAGTGACTCTCCATCTCATGTATAGTAGGTATAGGGGTCTCACTGTACAAAAATCCAGGTATCGTCAAATACATATAGGTAGCCGCCCACTGGCTCTTAGACTATTATGTAAAGACAAAATTATTTGATTTAAATCGCTATTTTTAATAATATTTGTATGTTTTTTTTCATTTATTCATATCCTTTGGATTTAATGACGATATAACAATTTTACAAAAAAAGCTGAGAACAACAATCTCATCCCTCAAGTTAAGATGTTCATAAACTAGTTAATACTCTTGCTGTAATGGTAAATTTATAGATAACAAGTTTATTGTGATAATATATGTAGTAATATAACCTTCCAATTATTATTTAGCAAATATTCTATATAAGTGACTAGCAAGTTTACTAAATTACGTTATTATACACACATTAATTTATTTTATGACTATATGGCAAATATTTAATTATACTATATTAGTGTGACTGTGTCACATCTAAAATAATTATTGTTAAAAAGTGTGTGATTCCCTATGTTGCCAAAAAGATACCAAACGTCATCTATCTTCATTAAAAACGACAAAGTATTTAGGGATTGCAAAATAAGTAATGTAAGTTAACGTTACATGCCCAATTTGCTAAAACAGGTACATTCTAATTTTCCATTACCCCCTTTTTATACTACACAATTATTTAAGGACTGTTTGAAGCTTTTTAAACGTAAATTTTAACTAAATAATGAATTAAATATATTTAAATGGGGTTTGTAAACGGTAGTTGCAGTAGTAGTAGTAGTAGAAGTCGTTCAATTTTTTGAGCATGAACAGACCCGAACGATTGAAAGTGATATTTCTGTTATTTCCTTTTTACGGCTTCTTTTTTTTTCTGGAACCCTTCTGTTACAAACCGGTTGTACAGCAGCCAATTGGCTTATTCCATATCTTCATTTTGTTCATCTTACTCATTCCAGAATTCTGGAACCCTAGATGGGTCGCCTATCTAGCTCTAGTAGATGTGTACTATATGCGTTTGGAGTTACTTGGTAGTCCCTTGAGATCTAGTGCATCAGTCTCTTTGAAACAGCATCATTATATGCAGGTATTCCTTGACTGGCACATGTCCAATATGGAAGCCTGATTCCGGCTTGTTTTCCGCAGTACTTCAGCCCATGCCATTAGCGCATGTCTTGCTTGCTTCATCAATATATATTTTTATTGCCAGTTATGTGCTTATTTCCACAGTTGAATGTTTGATACCTATGTTGAAGGTTAGGTCCACTGTTTTTCTAAGGCTCTTGGCAACAAAAATGTTACACCTTATCTACTTCATCTCTGAGCAATGTTTAAAGTTTTCCTCCGTTTCTTCTTCCTATCGGACTCCATTATGTAATTTTGTTTATCCTGCATCCGCTATTTTGACATGCTCTACCAGGTTTGTGTTTTTCATTTCAGTTTTCTATACAGTTCAGTGTTTGTCTTACTCTATTATTTAGAGGTGGTTCAGTTTGATATGGTGAGTATTCATATGGTTATTCAATTATATTGATTACTCAGCAAACTAGTGATTCATTTTGTCACTGTGATCTAATGTTACAATTTCTTCAATAACTCAAATTTGCCAGTATTTCTTATTTCTTCTTTAGTTTACGTGGCTGACAGTGTTATTTTTTATTTAAGCTTACTACCAACTGTAGCTGTTAATCAAATGATAGTATGTGCATACGAATATATCACATTCAGTAACGACACAATTTTGTTATTGTTTCAAGTGATAACTATCGAGTGATTTTAATCATTAATTTGCCATCTCTTAATTAGATGGCTGTATCAGCAATAAACTAAAAGAGTAATAATCTGTTGACAATTTTTTCTATTTTCTACAACAAATTTAAGCTGATAATGTGCGAGAATTAATCGATTGTTAGATTTCTTACATGAGTATTGTCAAGTTGTATAAATTTGATATTTATGTGTAGTAGTAAACTTTCTAAAGAACTTATTTTACAATCCCAGGAATAGATTTGGAAATCTCAGCTGATATGATACAAACTATTCGTATTTAAGTCAGCATTAGGTTCAGATTGAGTAGTTTTTGTGTTTTTAATGTTAACAATGCGTGTGGTAACCCTCATTTCTGTAAAAGGTTCTGGGAGGTGTTAAAGCCCCGGTTTTATAAAATCGCCTAATTGTAATCGGACTGATTCATGATCTCAAATATACTCGAAATTTGTATAATTGCTACTATTAAATTTTGGCCTAAGCAATAAACTGGAGGGTTGCTACCACAGTGGTATGGTAATAAGCTAAAAAGTGGCGCAACCCCTGGCCGCAGTACTAAGCGCTCCTGCGTTAACACCAACGGAATGGCACAGCCCTTGGCCTGTCAGCCCCCTCCTTCACCAGCGGTTTGTGGAACTCTCTGCCTGGTCTTGAGTGGATGGTGGCCCAGCAGTGTTCACAGTAGTACTAAAAATCAAGAAAATTTATTTAACTTTAATATCTAACAAATCATTATTATTGATATTATATTAAGTTAAGGATACAGAATAATAAATAATTACAAGGTAAATTGCGATAAATTTATAAAGTATGCACACCTGACTCGCGCAGACAGGATCATGCTATTTTTTTTAGGCGAATCCAGTAGCGTCCTGATGTAGTTGATTATTATAAAACAATGATGTATGAGTGGAGTGGAGAGTTTAATTAAATCATCATTTTAGAAACTATATATTACAGTTCTTCTTGCATTTAATGTCTCCTGTCTCTTAATTTTTGATTTGTTTCTTTGGTTTGTTTCCCAGAGTTCGACGCCATACAGTTCAATAGTTTCTATTATTGTTTTATAAATTCTTCTTTTATTTTCTTTTATTTTTTTATTCCATAATAGTCCGTGTAGCTGTCTGGTGACTGATCTTGCTTGGCCAATCCTGGAATGTATTTCTTCGCTACTTCCTGCTTTTGATGTTATTTGGACTCCCAAGTACTTAAAATTGTCTGTTGTTTTATAGTTCCCATTTCGATTTGTAGGCTTTCTAATTTTTCTCCTACAACTAAGTACTCAGTTTTTTGTATATTAATTGTGAGGCCCTATTTGGTGTACTCATCTTCCAGTTTTCTAAGCATGTAGCTTATATCACTTTCGTCTTCAGCTAGAATGGCTTGGTCGTCAGCGAAATGTATCGTGTACAATCTATCATCTCCGATTGGGATGCCCATATTGCAGCACTTTCTTCTCCACAGTGAGAGTGGCTCATTTAGATATATTTTGAAGAGTGTAGGTGCTATGCAGCAACCTTGCTTTAGGCCCTTACTAAAAGGAATTTCTCTAGTTAATCTATTTCCAGTTTTAATGTTTGCCGTCATATTTTTGTAGAGCTGTTGTACCGCTTGTATATTTTTTTGCTTATTCCTTGTTTTTCCATTGCTACCCAAAGCATTGAAAGTGATACACTATCGTATGCCTTTGTCAGATCTATATGAGTTGAAAGGTTGTGGGCTCTCTTGATGTTACCTTGTTTTTACAAAGACAAGGCAAAGTAAATAAACCACTTTAGGGTTAAAATAAAACAACAGGTACAGTTGAAAAGAAACTCAGCCACAGAGTCTAGGAAACAATACGCAGAGCCCCTAGAGCACTATATTCTAGGGGAGCCCGAGAAGGACTGACCTGGCTGGCTTGAAAATCACCGATATTTATAAGTGTTTTACTATTTATATGGTAGTGTCAGTTCTCAGACTATGGCACTCGATGACACTCCTTTGGATACTTCGATTTTGAGGATTTTTAATAATTGGTATTCATAGAACGAATCGAAGCCACCGGAATACACTATCGGATCCAAGTTCTTCTACTCAATTTGATAGCAGTTTCCTTTAAATTCATGTCTTTTACAGGAACTACATCTTGAACTCTCACTAAAACTTTTGCCGTTACCAACTTGGTATTGCCATATTTTCGATCATTCTTGAAGTTCCCCCTCAGCATCATCAAGTCTGGCCATCAGAATTTATTCACTATGACCGGGTTTTGTTACGTCGCATATTGTTAGTAACCGAATATCTTATTTGTCTTCGTGAAAGGGCAATTCGTCACCATTGATCTCGTGAACGCGATTTTAACATTCAATACAGACCCAACTTTTCTTAGTAAGTCCCAATATGATTTCGTCGAAGATCTCGGCAATTATTACTTGGTATTTAACTGTGGTTTATCTCCATGTGTTACTTATCTCTCCAGTTGCTGTTCTAAGCTTTACTGTTGCAGGCGATAATTTAAGATGGCCTCGTACTACTTCTGAACGTACAATAGTTCTTGTTATGTATGTTTCTACCAAAAACGAGCGTTATTGATACGACCCTCGATGTACAAGCTATAAATTCCACCGGAGGATGTAATGGTAACAGTTACTATGGGGCTAAGTTTCTCGAGGTCGGCAGTTGCCTCTTGATGTCGATCCGTTCTAGTTTTCCGACTGTTGTATCCTTTTCTTGCAATTACGCGAATGTGGCCCATTTCTCTAGGCGTTCTTTATTTTGTTCGTCACCTTCTGCTATGGTTCGTACTCGATGGCTCTGTAAAGTTTGACTACCTGTGTCGTGTTGAAAGGCTATCGCGGGCACTTCATCTAAATGTTTCAGTATTGCTGATATATTTCACTGTCTTATAATCCACTGAAAAAGATATATACATTGTTTTCTTCTCAAATATTGTCTGATGTCTCCGGATAGACCAAAAATACTGTACGAGCAACATCTGCTTCGAATGCTTGCAAATACTCTCACTTGCTTGTTGAATTCTGTTTCTAGATTGTACTTTGTAGACTTGTAGATGGGCATCTCCATACCGCATTTCTAGTCACGTGAACAAGATCTGGTAACATTTTTCTTTATCTTTAGGAATCGATCTTGGGATATCCGCAGCATCACATCGTAAAGCAGCAGTAAAAGAATAAGCCTTTTCTTGTTCGGTCCACTGATTGGATGTCACAATATCTTCAAATTAAAAAAAAATTTGTTTAAAATCCTTTATAAAAGGTATATAAAAATGCCTCAAACGGGCTATCACAAACATATTGCAAAACGTTTTCGGATTAAACAATCCATCATCAGTGCAAACGGTTGTACATGCTAGTAGCCACCAAAATATATCAACTCTTGTTGTTATCAACAGGTCCTCGTAGACACTTCGTCTCAGGACCATTTTACTCATGTAGAGTCATACGCCGCCATGTTACCTATCCAACGGTAACTTAACCATGTCAGGTAGCTGATGTCATTCCAAACCATTCACGAAAGTTTTACACCCAAAGTTTTTTAGAAAAATTGATGGTAAGACACTATGGCACAGAGCTAGAAGTACAGATTTACGACATATATGCAAGGTGGAGAACATCAAAAACTGGGTAAGAAATAGAAGAGTAGAATGGAACGATCACATAAGACGAATGACAACAAATAGAGTAGTAAAGACGGTTCTTCAATAGAAAGACGATCAGTAGGAAGACCACGAAAACGATGGAATGACAACTTACTGGAGGCACATATATAAAAAGAAGAAGAAGAAGAAGGAATCCTTGCTGTAAATAGCTTCGAAGCTATGGTTAATGATCTGATACCTCTATAATATTATGGGTCTGCTTTCTCCTTTTTTAAAGACTGGAATAGTTCTACTTTGTTTGCACTTTCTGGCTACTTTGTCTTTTTTATATACAGTGTGTAAAAGCCAAATGGAATAAATTCATTATTTAGGTTACTGTAAATATTTATAACAAATCCCGAAACACGTCAAATTTAAATTATAACTTGACATTATTTAACGTGAAAATGCAACCCCTACCTTCAACCTCCTTAGAATGACAGGTACAACCCCAATTTTTAAAATAGGAAGTATAAGCTTGTGATATATCGTTTGAAAGGTCTTTTCATTCTCCATTCAAAAATGTTGTCGCTTTCAAGTTTAAGATTAATTAAGATAAAATAAATTAAAATCATGTGGTTACCGAAATTCGCTACAATACAATCAAAAACTAAAATGTAATGCAAAACGTAATAAAATGTAGAACACGAAAAAGAACTATGAATGTTAATGAAGTAGTAGATGTTCAAAATGTTCACCGCGAACGTCTTGGCAACATCCTAATCTCAAATAAAACTGTCTTCTAACATTATTTAACATAACATGCGTGATCGACCTAATCGCAAGCGTTATTCGTTCTTTTAAGTCATTTAAATCAGAAGGTTTAGTTTTGTACACATGGCTCTTCACATATTCCCATAAAAAGAAATCTAATAATGTAAGATCAGGTGATCGCGCTGGCCATTCAATCGATCCTCGCCTCCCTATCCACCGATTGGGAAATATTGTATCGAGGTACTGCCGGACATTAAGTTGGTAATGTGGTGGTGCTCCATCCTGCTGAAACCATATCGTATTCGCTGGAACTTGAGGGTTTCCTGGATCAGGATATAAATTTGACAACGTTGGAATGACATCATTTTGAAGTAGTGCCAAATAATTGTTGCCATTCAAGTTGCCCTCAATGAAAAAGGGACCAATGATATTGTTTCCTACAATCCCTGCCCAAACATTAACCTTTTGAGGGTATTGAGTGTGTTCTTCTCTCATCCAGTGAGGATTTTCCGTGGCCCAGTAGCGGCAATTTTGCCGATTAGCATGACCGTTAAGTGAAAAAGTACACTCATCAGAAAACATAACGTCTTCTAATTGGATAATATTGTTATCCAACATGTCCATCATTTGCTCACAAAAAAAAGTTCTCTATCAAAATCGTCTTCCATGAGCTCCTGAGTAGGTATTATCTTATAGGGATGCAATTTATTTTCTTTTAATATGTTTACTATCGATGTATGGCTAGCATTGAATGTAGTGGATGCCTGTCTACTCGATGTATGTGGATTTTCCTGAAACTCAAGCAACACATCTAATTTGAGTTCATCACTCAGTGCATTGGCAGCTGCTTTTTTTATCTGCCTTACATGACCAAACTCGCGAAACTGCTTCTCTATTTTACTTATTGTTCCTTGGGATATAGGCGGTAAATTAGGAAATTTCTCATGAAATAGGCGAGTTACTTCCTGTTGTGTTCGGGTGTTATCTCCGTAACCAATCATTTGTAAAACTGTTATTTTATGCATTTCCGTTAATCTAACCATTTTTCAGAATTGAATTGAACGAACTTTTTACTTAAATTAAAATACTGACAACTTAAATAAAACAATTTACTAATGCGTGTTAAAATAACGTTGCCACGGAAATTCTTTAAGTTTTTTAATGGTTACCATCTAAAAACCACATTGCTATGGTTTTTGTTCACTTTCTCATTATCAAGACCTAAACGGGAAATAAGTTTTGAGTATATTTTAGCGAATTTCGGTAACCACATGATTTTAATTTATTTTATCTTAATTAATCTTAATAAACTTGAAAGCGACAACATTTTTGA